CAGGGAGGAGGCAGAACTGGCAGTTTAAGGACAACAGGTTCAGTGAACATTCTTGCCGATGAATCTTTGCAACCTTCTGTTTACTTCCATAAAATAATATTTCCCAACTTAAAGAAAATATTGCCATATTGGAGAGTCAACTTAATTTAAACAAACTAACCATAAAACTCATTTTGCCCACATTGTGCCAACATTAATTATTAATACTGCCTCTTATAGTTCTCAAAAGTATCCAGTTTGGATGGTAAATTATATGGTCACCCTATTTATAACTGAAGCTTGATATGAGCTAAATTGAATAAATTAGTTTATTAGATCCTTCAAAAATATTATAATTTGAAAACATTGCTTTATGAGAAAAGCTAACTGAATTGTTCATTTAGGAAAAAGTACAATCTAGTTCCATTCATATCACAACTAATGGTTTCTACAGCAATAGATCTAACTGTTCACTTAATGTCTGCAGTTTTGATGTAGTCAGAATATAAACAAGCTTCCAAATATAAGGCATCACACATGGAATGATACTATTTCAAATCAGGAACGTACATTAGAGATCATCTAGTGACACTTTTTTGGATGAGGAAACAAACCAAGGGAGGTTAAGGGATTTGTTTAGGGTCTTGGGGCTAATTAATAGAAAACTAACCAGAAACCAGTTCTGAACCCCAATCCTATATCTTTCTAAAAGTATTTTTTCAGTCTACTCCTGAGGAAAACTAATGGAAAAAATAATAATGTTCATCATTTTTGTGCAGCATATCAGTGCTTTCATGCCTTAAAAATTAAGAAAAACTATATACCTCTGCGTGCTACAAGATGGTCTTCAACTTCCGTTGTACCACGAATTACTACCCACTATACTGTTTATCCCCGGGATAAGGACAAGCGATGGGAAGGTAAATAATAATTTGTGTAAAATTGTTGAGACTTTCTAGATACTTTGTATCATTTTGTAGAGGGAAATATATTTTTCATGAAAGTGTAAAATGATCTAATATAGGTTTATGAAATGTGTTACACACTAACATTTGGAAAAGCAAACATTTGCTAAATTTACAATAACAAATCTCAAAGCCAAAAGTTGGTTTATGGAAGCTAAAATAAGATATGCACTGGAACAGAACCTAAGAGAACACCCACTAATACAGTAATATACTTACTATAATTCTCATGCAGAGTAGAGGCGCAATTCCTATAAATAATGCTCTAAAGCATGGTGCAAGTATTTGCAAGCCAGCATGCGATTTTACAGGTCTTCTTCATCTGGACTGTTAACGAATTTTTTTAAACTATTTTTTCCTCCCAGGAGTGAGTATGGAGAGGTTTGCAGAAGAAGCGGATGTAGTAATAGTCGGTGCCGGCCCTGCAGGGCTCTCTGCCGCTGTTCGTCTCAAGCAGCTGGCTGCTCAGCATGAAAAGGACATCCGTGTGTGTCTGGTGGAGAAGGCTGCTCAGATAGGAGCTCACACTCTCTCAGGGGCTTGCCTCGATCCGCATGCTTTTGAAGAACTGTTCCCAGACTGGAAGGAGAAGGGAGTATGAAAAACTGTTTTTTATACAAAGTCTAATCTTTATTCTATCTCTAGTTCCAAATTACTGGAATGCAGGAAACCCTTTTCATGTAATTCTATCTTTTAGAGGATAATTACCGATCTTTTCTTTAATTTAAAAAGGGCAAAAAGGGATTAAATCATATCAAATATAGTTATAATTTTAAGATATTCACTTTTTTTTAATTTTTTTTTTATCATTTTTTTTATAGCTGAGCCATCCTGCCACCTGTTGGCAGCTCAATGGCAGCTCAGCTCGGGCCGGGACTCGAACTGCTGCTGCTCAGAGCTTGCACTCTTGAGCAAGATCTTAACCAACTGAGCCACTCTGCCGGCCCTTTTTAACTCATTTTTATATAATGCCTTCTACATGTATTCATGTACTGGAGATTTATGAGAAGCATTATCTTGAGAAGATCTTTGAATATTTGTACCAAATAGAACACAGTACTTTGATTTTGCAGGTATTTTCTAACTTTTTATATCATTGTTCTTAAGGAAATGTTATACAAATTTCCTGGACATTGTAATATCTAAAGCCAAAGAGGATAATCTAATCTAATTTTGTAAATAAATAAATTAATTTGGCCTCCCATAACCTAAGCAGAAATGGCACTGGTACAAATGCTAGTTTTACTGCTCTCATAGTTTGTATGACCTTGGTTCAAATCTTATACTCTATATATCTCAGTTTTTTCTTATGCAAGATGGTTTGTCTCTATCCTACCTTTAAGGTTAAAATATTTATATCAGTGAATATACTTTGTAAAGATTAAAAAAAATGTGGTAAATATTTCTGTATTTTTTCCATTTGAGTAAGTTAAATTCCAAAAATTTTATCTCTAATGTTGTTTCTAAAATACCAAGCTCCATTAAACTAGAAACACTTTAATTATGCCCAGTTAACTTTCCTTTTTCAGTGTATCAGAAATAGGTATTATTGAATGATTATTGACATAATATGAATTCTAATAGAAAGTTTTTCGCATCAAAACCCTATATAGCTAGGCAGATACAATCCATCACATACATGATAGCAGTACTTAGCCAAAGTACCAAAGAAGAAAATAAAACTTGTCTTATGTTTTCATCAAGCAGCAAGTTACAACTTGGAGCAAGCACCTAGGCTAAACTCCCACAGAGACAGGGAGACAGGAAGCCATCTTCCTTGATGTTCACATTTCAGAAATGTCTTCAAGGTTCCCCAGAAAGACATTCCTGGGATGCAAAACGGCCTGTTTAGGTTTTTAAAAGGTCCCTATACATCTCAAAGAGACAAAGGATTTACAGTCTAAGCTTTCAAAGAAAGTGGTGAAAGAAAAATGAGGAGGGTAGTTCCTTTTACTTTTTGATACAGTTTTATTGTTATTTGTATTTACCCTTACAAATATGAGCTAAAAACTTCCTTTTCTTTTTTTATTTTGTTTCTAGGCTCCACTTAACACTCCTGTAACAGAAGACAGATTTGGAATTTTAACAGAGAAACATAGAATTCCTGTGCCAATTCTTCCAGGTAAGACATGAGAAATAGTCATAGAATCAGAGAATTCCACAGCTGGAAGGAACTACATTTTATCTGGTGAAATCCCTTCCTTTTACAGACGAGAAAGCTGAGGCCCAGAGATTTGAAGGACGTACCCAAAATTATACAGCTAGCTTGTGGGAAAGCAGGACTAGCCCTGTGCTTTTGTCTTCCAGTCTAGAAGAGTTGAGATAGCCTTGCAAGCCAACAGGAATTTTTAATGTAATGCTGTAATGTTGTTTTTCATTTAATAATTAGAACTCTAGACCACAATTATAAAAAATAAGTTGAAATTGTGACCATGGGATAATGTGTATATTTATGCAGAAATTATACATTGATGAGAACTTTTAAATTGTGTTTTTGAGATGTTTGATCAATGAAAAGTCGGATTTCTAAATTAAGCATGTATTTGTAGGTCTTCCAATGAATAATCACGGCAATTACATTGTGCGCTTGGGACATTTAGTGAGCTGGATGGGGGAGCAGGCAGAAGCCCTTGGCGTTGAAGTCTACCCTGGTTATGCTGCTGCCGAGGTTTGTGCAGTTTTGTTTTGTTTTTAATACTCATAGGATAGTTTTATTTTTTTGAGTATAAACCAAGAATGGTACAGAGGTTAAAAAATAAATATTTTAGAAAAGCCATGGGATTTTAGAACTGCAAGATTAGAAGGAATGTTTTTTAAAAAATTAAAAATTAGAATCTTAGAAAGATCTGATTCAAAGAAGTACTGTATTTGACTTCCTCATATTGTACCCACATCAAGTGATTGTCGAACTTATGGTTGAACCCCATCAGGGAGGAAAGCCCTCTATCTGATGTTTGGATTGTTGGTAATATGCTCTTTCTTATATTTAATTTATTTACTGTTTTATACTCTATAGGACAAATCTATGCCCCCTTGCAAGGACAACTTTCCAATTATAAGTATGCCTTGCTTTCTCTTCTTCCCCACCTTTACTCTGGTGTTTTTTTCTTCCCCAGGTTAAATATTCTCAGCTCTTTCAGCTTTCACATTACACAGTTTGAGTTCCTTCCGTATTCTCATTGCCCTCCTTGGAATGCAGTCCCTTTTTATTCCCTTTGTAAGGTGGCACCCAGAATGAGTACTTCAAGCTTAGTGTAGAGCAGGGCCATTATGTTCTTCATGCTAGAAACTGTTCTTCCGTTAATTCCCTCAAAATAACTCTTTTGGCAACTGTATCATACTGTTGATTCTCACTAACTATTATTGAAGAAATTATTACAAATAAAATCTCCTGCCAACCCAGAAAAATCACCTCTACAAATTATAAAATAAAGACAGTTTTATCGAAGGAGTATTAAACCAAGATTGCAATGCGTGTCTCCGGCAGCCTGCTAGGGAGATTGCCAAGACAGAGAGAAATCTCACCCTTTTACTTAGCCAGGCAGAACCAACCCATTATATACACATTGTCTGTATCCAAAGGAACAATAAAACTTCTTGTATCTTTTGACGAGCAGGAAGTTATAACTTGGACCCAGGCACGTAGCCCAGACTCCCACAGACACTGCATGCCATCCTTGATGTTCACATTTCAAGTATGTCTCCAAGGAGACATCTCCCTAGGAGATGCAGATCTGACAGGAGTTTTATTTAGCTTGTAAAAAAGATTGCCATGTATCTCAGACTTCGTAAAGTTAGAAAATTTTACAGTTAAGTTTTCTGAAGAAAATGCTGAAACAGTCTCAATGGGAAAGGAGAGTTCTCTTATTTTGTTGCCAGAGAAATTCAAAAAAATATTTTATTTGTTTTTACCCCTACAGCGTGTAAGTCAAATAAAAGACACAGGTTCCTGTATTATCATTGCTACTACTGATTTCTTTTTCCCAGCCCATATGTATGCATTGGTTTTTTTGACCCAAGTGTGGAGTTTTACATTTCTCCTAGTTAAAATGTCTT